TTTTGGTCCGCCCATTTCATTTCGTCCTCCCCCTTCCAGTGATATTCGTTGAACCCCCACAGCTTTTGCAGTGATGATCTCGTTATTGTCGCTCACTTTTTCCAACGAGACTTGTAGATTTCTTGGGCCATAGTTCAAGTTTAATTCAATGATCACGGATGAGGGGAAAAAACAAGAACATAGCAATGGGAGGAACCATGCTCGGGAATACTGTCTGGGTAGTTGGTTGAAGCGGCTTGGTAATGATTCAGCTAGCAGTTCTGATGAGTGATGACAGTTGCCGCCCTCTTCAGAAAATGCCAGCTCCTTTTCTGCGGCCAATATGTCCTGATGACACTGTGGTTGCGTCTTAAACCTTTAGAGGAATTCCGCTTTGATGGGAGGGTTGGAGTTTTGTTAGAGGCTTATGACGTAATTCCCGGGAGGGAGCTTGAAGCAATAACAGGTATTTTGCTCTATCAAAATGGATAAAAAAATTTTTAATACTATAATTTATATATTTTTATTGTTAGCTTTTTTTCCTTTAGAACTATAATTGACTCCCCATGCAATGCAATGCACAGGAGCATCAACTTTAAAAATTATATTACATAAATATTTACAAAATTTTTCATTTTTTACCCCAAAAAAAAAATTCTCTGCAAATATTTCCAAAAATATTCATCTGATTAGTTTTGTTTGTATGAAATAAATAAATAAAATAATGAAAGGGTAAAGCAACAAAATTCAGGAATAAGTTAGTGATTTGAACTTTTATCCACTAATTATATTAAAGTAAAAAAAATTAAAAAAAAACCCACTTAGTGAAATTATTCTAAAATTCATAAGCTTCATGCAAATTTAGTTGTTTTTTCATCTAAAAATATCAATCTTTATTTTACCCATTCGAATGTAAAGATAAACCTTTCCTTTAACGGATGTTTATGTCTATATCTATTTAATTTGTTTTTCTTTATTAATACAGGTTTTAGCATTTACTAGTGCAGAATAGACTTATATTGTGATTAAATAAATAGCCATGACAAAATTATTAATTAAAATAAGTTTTCTATAATTAATGACGTGAAGTTTCATCCTTGATTATATTAAAATGAAGGGAAATTAAAAATTATTGCAAATAGTAAAATTACTGCAACAAACAATTAACCTCGTGCAAATTCAATTGCTCTTTCACCTTGAAATACCAATATTAATTTTATTAATTTCAATATAATGATTGAGTTTTTTCTACTTGGAAGTGATTACACATGTATTTGTTTGATATGCTATTCTTAATTAGTGAAGAGAATAAAGTATTAAGCAGTAAGTCAATTAGCTTTTTTAATAAAGATAATGATCACTTTGCATTTTATTAAATAAATAAAAAAACAGTAGTTGAATGTGAAGAATTTTAATTTCAATTCTTTATTTATTTTAAATATTAAGTATTTACCTTTATTAGTAGATGAACGCAAACTAACACATATCATACATATCATCAGGACCATCATACTTGTTGACCATCGATGAACTGATCGGATTCACCAATCAAAGTTAGCTTCAGTCATTATATATTGAATAGAAGTAAAAGCTTTAGTAACAGTCAGTCAATGTGGATTAATCTTAGGAGAAGTTTTTCCTAAAAATTTGCAACATGCGCATAATATGACTCTCTTTCAACTATCCACATCATTTTTAGGTTGCATTATCATAAAACAAATAATGAGTAATGAAGCAATACAAGCAGCATGAATTATATAACAATATAACGTGTAAAGAAGAGCAATATAACACATAACATTTTTAATCAGACCTAGTTTTGAAGATTTTACTTTATAATATCTTTACTTCCCTAGCGCAACATTATAAATTTTTTAAAATAAATGTCTAAATAAATATATACTCCCTCCGTTAAAAAATGTAAAGCATTTTTAAGGAATTGAATATTCAAAAATGTAAGGCATTTTTAGTCTTTCGAGGTATAATTATTGTTTTTTATTCAAAAATGTCCTTATTGATAATAACTTTATATTCATTGTAGGGTGTTTAATAAAAATAAAAATAAAAAAATAAGATTAGTTAGAAAGTAGGTAACTACTTTAGTGGGAGTAAGATTTGGTTAAAAATGCCTTATAGTTTTGAACGGAGGGGGTATTTGCTAAGGTTGTAAAAAATAATAACCATGAACCATAATCTCATATATTGAGTGTTAATAGTATTATAGTAATCAATCAAGAAAATATGCTATATTATTGATTGATATCAAGGAGAAAAACAAAGATTAAGTAAATACATGCTACGGTAACTTGTAACAAAATTGGACTGCTGCACGAGTACAAAAGCTTTACAGACAATAACTTCAACAGATAACTGCTAATAACTTTGGTTTATAAGTTGATAACATAATTTAAGGGAGTGTAATATCACATCATGGAAAAAAAAATTGATATCAACCAAAAATATACTACAAACAATAACTATTAATAATGTTTATGGATAAATACATGCTTTGATTGATACCATAAGATTAAGTCAAATTTTCCAACAGTTGAACAAAGAGTGAAAAAAAAAAGGGAAGAAAAATTTGGCTGTAGAGCAAGAACTACAAAACTTCTTCAATGCACCAAGCCATGCAGGTATACTTCTTGTCAACTGATTACAGCAAAGCTATAAATAAATAATCCTAGTACGATATCAATTTGGAAAAGGGCTTATCATTAAATTCTCATTTTAAATTAAGCAAAATATAAATGACAGAAAAGTCATTGAATTAGAAAGAAGCTTGAGGAACAAAACAAGCAAATTCTGGTGAGGAATGAATAGTTGGATTCCATGTGCTTTTTCGGCCTAATCAGAAATGGGACCACCATCACCAGAGTTATAAAGAAACAGTTTTTTTCCCCTGTACCGTCTGCCCCTGAGCCTTGACAAAATTGGCATTTTCTTTAGATTTATGTGTTGACAATCTAGATTCATTTCTCGATTTATATTTGTTCAATTCTTTTTCGTAAATGTTTTTATTTAATTCTTTATTCTCAAATATTTGTGCCTTTTATAAAAAAACTATAATATTATTGTTTAAAATTAAAAAATTGAGTTACAAATTTATGAAGTTTAACACTTGAGATCTAACTTGAATTAATTGATCCTTTTAAATTTTTTTTGTTATTCTCCCATTTTAATATTCAAGTTTATGGAGGCATTGATTTATTAAATTTTATTTTATTTAATATAAGACTTTTTATATTAATTTAAATTGACCTACACTTAAATATTCTAATAAATACAATATTAAGACTAGTTTGGCCAGCACAAAGAATGTTTTTTGATGGAAAGGAAGATAATTTGATAACTAAGTATGGTACGATGAAAAGATAAAATGACTCCTTAAAAAATAAAAAAAATACAATAATTTTTTAATTGTTTTCAATTTTTTAATTTTAACAAAAGCTTAATAAAATAAATCAATGTTTTAATCTTCTCGTCGAGTGCCAAATTACTGAAACAAACAAGAAATATTTCAAGATGGAGTGCCAAATTACAAAGGAAATAAAGTTAAGGCATTTAAAATACATGAAAACATTAAAGTTCAATGTTAATCTAAATTAATTTAACTATTTTTTTTGTTTTCTTTCAAAATTTGTCAAGCATAATAAGCAATGACTGGCGTGCAAAAAAAAAAAAAAATTATTGGCGGTCGCTTTTCAGTGTAAACTTGTACTATTTTTCTCTCCTGGGGATAGAGGTGCAAACTTGTACTCTTGTCCTATACTTTGAAATCTGGATCAGATATCGAACTGAAAAGAGCAACGGATCACAATTTTTATGATTTAACCGATTAGACCGATGGTTGAATTGATGACATAAAAATTACATTAAAAAATAATATTTATATATGTAACTATATAAATAAAACATTAATTTGTCGATAGTGTTTGGGATCTTGACTCTGAAGGCTAGATGCCTGGACCGTTAGAGCTAGAGGCAGAGGCATGTCAACATAAGCTTGTGATCTTGAAGGAAAACTCTAGAGCTGGAGGCACACCATCATGTCATGACTCATAAGCTTCTAATCTCGATGCCAAATGTTAGATTGCTAGAGTTGGAGGCAGGAATTAGAGGAAAAATTAGAGATTGAGCTTGGGCCATGGAGGAGAGATTAGAAATTAGAGAAGAGAAGAAAAGAGGGAATTAGTGATTAGAGAAGAGAAATCATAAATATAAGCGACTTAGCCTAATTTTTTTTTTGTCTTTGAACTAGTTTTGACTCGGGTTAAACGGGTTCCGATTTTTGGATCAAAATCGGTTCTCTCAAAACCGACCAAGTCAACCTGGGTCAAATGTCAAATTGGTTCAATTGGTTGAACCAAACTGTTTTGTTTAGTAGATGGTAGTCGGACCGTTCGGTCCGGTTTCAACAATACTGTTCTTGTCATCCAAAAAAATAATGGTGACTCTTTCTTTGTTTTTTTGGTTCATTGTGTTTTAATGTTTCAATGTATTTTAAATTTAAATGCCTCAACTTTTTTTACAAAGCGAGTTAAGACAATTAGCATAAGGCGCAATACTAAATGCAATAATAGGCCCAATCTTCTACTGGACAATTAGCTCTATCTGTACTAAGCCTTGTAACATTTTTCAGATCATTCTTTTATTCTTTCCTTTTTTGTATATGTGTCTCATGTTCATGTTTTCTAGGGTTGTGTACCCTACCTATATAAAGCAATACAAAACATTAGGCCTAGTGAGTCACTCTTATAATATTTATTTCTTAAGTAAGTGCTGGTAGGAAAAATTTCTACTCTTTGAATTTTTGTCTTGAGCAGAATTTTCAAAGAGCAGGAATTTTTCCTACCAACTTTTTGCAAGGCATGTCACTGTCACGCCTACATTGTGCTCGACAAGTGGTGATGTCGAAGTTCTGCATTCTTTCTTCCATAGCCTTGGCCAAAATCCTTCCATATAAAGGACATTTATCTTCTTTGATAAGGGAAAGAAGAAATTTTCTCAATTTAGTGCACTGCTGCATCTTCTCTGATTTCCTCCTCTGTGCAATATCAGCAGCAAAAGAAATTTTCTCAATTTCGCAAGAAACAAATATGAGTTTTCAGTTTCTTTCATGGGGAACTTCTACTCTCAATTTTCTCATCTGTTTTCAATTTCTTTCATGGGGAACTCTTTCTCTAGATTTTCTCATCGTAACAACACAGACATTGGAGATCCCATCATTCCCCCCAGGTTCATTACTACATGTCATTTCATCTCATTAATTCGTTCTTTACTTTTCTTATTCTGACTTGTTTTTGTTTAATTATTCAAGGGTTTCAAATTCTGTTCCTTCACTTCACACCATTTATGCTTATTTAACCGGATTGCTACTTGCTTTGATCCAAATCAAGTACCAAGGATTGAACATTATCGCCTTCAAAGACCACCCTACTATCATGATACTGTTTCTCATCGCAGTTAGTGTGTACGTCATGGCACTCATAGTTCTGACATCAAATTCCAAATTAACAATGGTTTCGTGGATATTGTGCCATGTTTTTGGAAGTGTTCCTTGTGAGCTACTCTTGTTAGTCCCGGTATCTTCAATATAGTGCTTCCTCATCAACGTCTCTTCGCTTATGCTGCTTCTCACCTTGCTTTGCTGTTATAGTTATTACCTGGTGGCTACAAAAATGTCATCGGACACTCCAAGTGTGGAGGGGCAAGCTACTAAAATCACAGACCTAGAAGCTGCAGCAACTCTCGATCCTTAATTAACCTCCTGATTGTTTGGTTTGAGGTGAAATTAAAAAAAATTAATAATTTTGATTTTTTTTAAAAAAAAATGGAGAGATCGTGTGGAGAGTTTTTTATTGAAATTTTTTTCACCCTAATTCTTCATTTTTTCCCAAAAAAAATTATTAAAATTTCTCCTCCTTTTCATTCCCTTCAAACCAAACAGAGCATAAGTGAATTTGAGTATCATTCAGATAAAATTTACGTGGTCAAATTTAGTTTTTGAATGAATCTATATGTTTTGGATCTCTTTTATTTTAAAATATGAAAAAAATAATCTCAGATTATATGCGTTGTTTTTTTTTTGTACTGACAGCTACACTGTTCAGTCGATAATGTATGTATGTATGTATATATTTGCCATCTTCCTTGGAGTCTCTTCTCTTTATTAAAATTTTTTCGTTCTACTTATTCATTTTTTTAAAATAGAATTTACTAAAATCTCCGCTTTATTTTCTTGAAGACAAACATATCACAACTGAATTTAAAATTTAGCATTTGAATGAATCAATATATCTTAGATCTATTTTATTAAAAATGAAAACAAAACCACAATCGTATAGAAAGCTACGTTGTTCAGTCTAAGGCCGCGCATGTCTCATGTTAGGCAAATAAAGTGGTCACTTTAGGCATGAAAAAAAGTCTACTTATATTCTATATAACGGGTCATTTTTTTCTTGTTAAACATTAATGTTAATTATATATCTTATATAATTAGTTATTATATTTTTGTTTGACATTAATGTTAATTATATCTTCCCATAAAAAATTTATTGGCCCGTGTTTCATTGCAATTATCACTCCTATTTTTAAATTTGATTAATCTTGTAACATTCAAATACATGCCAAAATCACTGTCTTTCAGCCACCACTCTGTTTTTCATATCTCCTCCCTCAAATCTCAATCAAACATTCAAACCTTTGTTTTTCAAAGTTAAAATTACTTAAATCTTATTTAAGATTAATTATTTTACAAGATAAATTTAATAAATTAGTTACATTATCTATTAAAAATGAAATGTTAGAATTACTTGATTATAAAAATTTAATATAAGACTTTGCAACTCAAAAAGTTAAAAAAATGATATGAAGATATGTAAATAATAATACAATAAGCTTTTTAAATAATTTTATCTTAGGTCTCAAAATCTCTTCACAAGTCGTTGATTCAATCGACAATGTGAATGCCGTTTACTCTGGTCACAGTACTTTTTGCCAGCCGTGCATTAGAGGTCCAATTTGTCATTAACATCAAGCCCGTTCATCACATTTTTTTCAAATGCATTATTGCTGCTGCTTCTGCTGGTACTTTCCCAAGCCGAAGAGATTAAGGTAGCAGATATTATTCCCACCAATACAACACAACTAAGAGTGGCAACTTTATGCTTTTGCATGCAAGAGTAGCATCTTTATTAATTATTATTACTCTCGAGTCCTCAAATTGGAGCCCATATGGTGGACAAAACGTAGGAAGTAGGAACCATGTTTTTTAGGTTTAAAGTTTTACGAGGTCGAAGTGATTATGGAGTTCGGCCCAGAGAGAGTTTTGTTTTTATACAAAGCCCAAAGGAAGGGGAGAGGCAAAGGAAGTTAGTTTAACAAATGTGAGTTATCAATTGGGTGTAATTCCACAAAATTAGTGGTATGAGCTTCTTATATGTCATTCTAAGGTTTAATTTCTGAAAGTGTATATAAAAAAATTACTTAAAAAAAGATAACTCCTTAAACAACATTTAGATTTCTTGAGAGATAAGTCTCATAATTGTTAGTTATGGAGATACCGTGGGTAAAAAAATAATAATAATAAACAAATGCAAGTTTAACTAATAAAAACACATTGCACTAAAAAAAAACACACATTGTACTAACATGTTTAGATTTAATAGAAAGGATTAGTATTTCATAATATGGCAAATTAAAGTTCAACTTGCCATTAAGACTTATAAGTCCTGCTCGTATTTAATATCTAATCATGTCACTATATAATTGCTTTTAACATGTATAGATTTAAGTTGAAATATGAGGAGCTTGGGTACTGAATTTTAGGAATTTAATTTGTAATAAGGTTTTGATTTAGTATTAACCTTGCTAAATACGATGGGGACCAAAGCAAATATTTTAGTAGTTGGTTTGCTTTGAGGGAACCAAAGCAAGGAAATATTTTAAGAAGTTTGGTTTAAAAATATGAAAAGATGGGGTGAGAATATTTTAATGAATATTCTCTCCCTTTCTTTCTATGTCTTATTTTTATTAAAAAAAGTTCACTGTACTTTTTTTTAAATTGAATTTACTACAATCTCCTCTTCATTTTCCTCAATCCAAATGTATATGTAAATGTTCTTTGAGTTTAAAAGTGTGCCCTGAGCTCTCATGATCCAATTTACCAAAAAATTTTTGTATCCAAAATAAGTTCATATGATTTACATGTGCTGGAGGATCTTCTTTCTTTGATCCATCTCCTTGTCTATTCTGCTTTTATTCCTTGCATCATACTCCTATAACAGTTCAAATTTCAAAGTTCCCATAGCACCGGAATTTTCATTTGTCAATATCCTTAATTATAGGGATATTTATCAGGCTTGAGTTCCTTTTTTTTTTTTTGTGACCTGGACAAAATAACCAGGTCCTCGCACCCATCTAGCACTTTCACTTTGTCTGTGTGTGTATTTATCATTATTGATTAACAAACCCTTTATCAAATTTTGACCTTTTGGTCAGAAGCAGTCACGCCAGCTTCCCAAGAAGCATGAAATTTTTAGCTCTTGTCATTTTTTTTTTTCTAAAGTTGAAATTCATTCAATAACTGAAAAAAGAAACACAATACAAGAACCTAAACAAATAAAAGAAGAAAGAGGGCAATCAATCACTCGTCACCTTCCATCTTAAAGTAAGGTAATAAATGATCAAAGATACAAAAAAGACCCTCCATCAAATGGAGAGCCTTGATATATTAAATTAAAATTTTATGGAGTGAGAAAACAAACGGTACATTTTAATCTATAAAAATATTTCTATAATGTTTGATAGATAGAAAAATATCTTTTAAATAGAAAAAGAGAAATGTACTTATCTCATTTTTTTATCTAGATACATTTTATGTTTCTCTCTCTGTTTTTTTTTTGTCAAAATATTTTCATTTTTCTTTCTAAAAAAATACTTTTATGTGTATCAAACATGCAATTAATTTCTTGAAAGATTAGAATCAGAATCTTCAATGAGATTTTGTTCCATTTGCATTAATTCAGTATTACTAGGAACCCAATTCATCACCTCATGCTCATATTTTACTTGAATATTAAGCCTGGATTTATAAGATCCCAATAGAGCATCTAGTTTTTTTGGGAAGACCATGTAACAGAACTCATTCTTTTTAGAACATTATACAGAGCACAATGCTTCTACTTGGGAATTTTCTCATCTCTAGAAATCTTATTGATATGGAATTATGGATAGTGATCATATCTTACTCTATATAATTGGGAATCCTTCTGGCCTAGTTTTGGGTTTCTTTTCTTTTGTTTTTTTAATCTTCCCGGAGGATTTGTACTTGATAGAAATAAGGGTTAAAGAGTAAAAATATTTATGAATTTTTTCTCCAAGGGCACTAGTATCTTTAAGTGAAGGACATTGTAAGAGTACCTATAACATTAATAAAGTAGGTGCAAAAGTACTCAAATCATTAAATTAAACTAATGGTTTTTTACCATTGATTGTTAAAAAAAAGAAAGTAAATATAAGGTGTAAAAACACCTATAAACTTTTTTTTAGGAGCTTTTGGTATTTTAAAATCAACAATGATACATGAGTACTTTTTAATTTTATAAAAAAATATCATATAATCAAATTCGATCCTAACGAATTGGGTATTTTTTTGCTATAAGCTTCCCTCAAGAGAGGTGCGTAGTCCCATTTTAAATGAGAGTTGGAACAATGTACTGAAAATCAAACCGATCATTGAACTGGCCAAGATCATGGATCAACCCAAAGTTAGATTGAACATAATAAAATAATATAATTTAAATAAAAACACATTATCCAAGACTTAATATTTAATACAATACCCCATACAAGTCCAACACAATCATCAAAACACCATTAAAAACACAACAATATTTAAAATATCCATCCTTGCAATCTTTCAATTATCAAAAAGTCTAAAGTTAATAATAATCAATATCAAAATCTTCATTAATTTCATTCAAATCTCTAAGGGTAGGAATTGAAACATTAGGAGATGATTGAGAGAAACCAAAACCACTCCCAACATCATCATTCAAATGTGGAGGCTTTGGAATATTCATATCTTCTTCACCTGTTGATGACAAGAATTAACATTAATCATTATATATGAAAAATAATTATATATTATATCATATTAGATTTGTTAGTAGATATAAACCTTCATTATTTTTCTCAAAAGCTAATAGAGTTACTACATTTTCTTTATGCATAGCATTTTTAAAATTGATGATATCATCATCATCAAACTTTGGAGTTGGATCTTATTCTTCTTTAGCAATTCAAAAGTTCAATTTATCAATAGATTCATAATCAATGGATCAAAACTTCTCTTTTTCTTTGGTTAACTCTTTTAATAAGATCAAAGAAATCAAATATAAGTATATGACTAACATAAAATATTAATAAAATTCTTATTCATTAAAAAGATTCATAACTTCTATTCTTACCTATGCTTCAATCGTATATTATAGTTTGTAAAGATTAAATCAGATTTGATGTTCCAATCTATTTCTTTTTTTGGTGTGGATGCATTCAAACAAACTTTGATTTTTCTCACAATCAAGAGATGGAGAAGTTTGGCTAAGACTTGGGACTGTCTAGCTGACATGGAATGGAAGCATTTTTCTTTTCATATGTTAGATGTAGAAGCTACAATAAACAGATTTGCCCGGAATGCTATCTGTTGTTTGCTAAACATATATCTCTTGCATTTGGGCAAATTATACTCTATCTACTTTCAATGGAAATCATATTAAAATAATATAAAACATGTGTCAACTGTCCTCACATCCCCACGCAATTCTTCAGACCACCCCTCGTTGATAAGCAATCATGCAGTGTGGCGTACGTGTGGAAACAAGGACATGAGAAACTACTGTCATATATTTATGTGACTCTAATATCTTATGAAAAGGATCAAAACAAGCAGCATATATAAAGGGACTAATGGTTTTTTTTTTTGTTAGGGGGGGGCAACGAAGGTAACTCCTGTACACGATTTTTTTTTTTTGTTTTTTGCCAAATAACTCCGGTACACGTTAAAATACCTTCATGTTAAAAGCTTGGCACTTGATTCTCCTAATTAGTCAAGTGTATATTCTGCTTTCTAACTAAAATAATGAAACATAGATGTGGATTAGGTGATCTAAATATATTCACTCAATAAGTATTTCTATTACAACATTTGAATTTCATTAATATTTGAAATATAAACATTTTTTATTTGTCAGTCTTAGTTTAAAATATAAGAAATTTAATATTTATAAAAAAAATCTCATTTTTTCTCTTGCATTCATTAACCTAAATTTTTATGTTTGTAAATTTATGACATTTTTTTCACTCATCATAAATTAAAACTAAAAGTTAAATAAAAAATAATACTTTTTCTGTTAAAAAAATGTTAGATATTTTTTAAAGAGTTAAATGTTTAAAAATATAATATTTTTTACTCTTTTGAGATATAATTATTATTTTTTTTAATGTATTCCTGTTAGTAACAATTTTATCTTTATTATAAGATATTTAATAGGGATAAATATAAAAAAATAAAATTAATTTAAAAATAAATAATTTTTTTATTAGAGATGAAATTTAATTATAAATATTTTATATTTATAAATGAAGGAAATATATATTTTTATAAAAATAA